ACTTAAAAGTTCTTTCCACACATAAAACACTAAAGATTTATCTAAAATATGTATTATCCTGCTTCACTCCAAAGGGACTTATGAACTGAAATGTTCTCTGTAAAATGTTAAATAATGTTCTATATAAGCCCACATTCAAACAATTAAAGGAACAATAAAAACTATGTCTTTATTCTTTGTACATCTCCTACCAGTAGTAAATTCTACTCATATTTCAAAACTTCAAGAAGTCTTCCCTGATTCCCTAAACAAAGCTAGATTCCCAAATGTATTTCTCCTTTCCATTACTGTACAGTTACCAATTTAGTAGAACACTTCCCTGGCTAATATGCAAGTTTCATGAAGACAGCTGTGTCTTTTCTAGCCAATGAATACTCTTAAATCTATTAGCAGAGAAAGGAGCTCAATAAGTATGCCCTAAATAAAGGAAATCAATAAAATGTATCTTATTTGTACATTTCAAACGAAAAATTCATTTAATCAAAAAAAAACCTGCAAAAACTATAGACTCATGTTTGTTTAATATAGGAGCACACCTTTACTTTTATTAGAAATGCAAAGTTAATTTGCTTAACCAGCAGCAAAAATAATATCAAATCATTTTTTAAAAAGAGCTTATATTATAAGAAAACCTAAAGAAAATTACATTGCAAGCCAAAGGAAAATTTCATAAATTTAGTGTACGTTTTCAGGGAAATTAATATTGTGAAGGGAATGTATCTCCTTAAGGCAAAAAATGTATACTAGTTTCTTGATCTAACTACTAAATTATAGGAGATGATCTAGTTCTGAGCAGTCTGTGGATCCTTAGTGGTCCTCAAGACCATTTCATGAGCTTCATTAAGTCAGAACTTCTTTCACAATAATGCTAAGATATCATTTCTTTTTTCGCTTTTGTTCTCTCACATGCATATCGTGGTGTTTCTCCAGACATCATGTGATGTGTGATACAGCAAGACTGAATACAAAAGCAAACACGAGAAACCAACTGTCTTCCATTAAGACATTATAAAGACTTGTAAGAGTTGGCGTGTAGCTTACTCATAATCTGCTTAGCTTCCAGAAGCCTCGGATTTGACCCCAGCATCACACACAAAAGCAAAAATGTAGGCTGTAAGGTTCAAGCCCAGCCTAAGAAATAGTGACACTGGGCTGGGGATTTAGCTCAGTGGTTTTGCCGCCTGCTGTGCAAGTGCAAGGACCCAAGTTCAATCCCCAGTACCAAAAAAAAAAAAAAAAAA